TTTATCAGCTGCATCTTTGCCTGCCACAAGAAGCAGGTCAGGGTGGGAAAGTTCCCGACAGGATGACACTGAATATTCCAGGCCATAAGATGGGCAACAACAGCCTGGAAATCCTCCCTGACTCCCCTTGTCAGAAACCACAGTCAGCCTGAGTAGTGCCTGGCATCTATAACCCTCAGAGGATGCCCCTTCTCACCAGCTCCATCAGGAGTAATTGTTCCCAGTTTCACAGCCAGTGGGTAGCCAGTTTCCCGGTAATGCTCGACTGCATGATTGTTGCCACCGCTGCCATCAAAATAGCGCCGACCACAGAGGATGGATCCATCGGTCATGTTCAGCCACAGGTTCTCCCTCATGTCACATTTGCTGCACTTCCAGCCACTGTTGACAAGGAATGGAGAAATTAGAGTGAAAACCTTTGGGTTCTACCTTGCAAGCCCTCTCCATTACTACCCACTGACCACAATATGAGCAGTCTCATTCCTCTTTTACTTCAGAACACTGAGCATCCTGAAACACCTTAGTTCGCCATTTCCCCTGAATTTACTATGCCGAGGCACACTCCAAGACTCATGAAGGAAGTCTCATCTGGACAGGAGAAGTAGGTGATAGGAGCAGGTCTGGGACACAGAGCGATACAGCTAGTTTCAGTACTATGCTCACCATGGTGGGATGCGGACATCGTTCTGAAGTTGGTGCAGGGAAAAAGCGTGTTTGGATACACGCCGAACCTCCCCATCCCAAGCCTGCACCTCCTGCTTCCGTGAGGCTGAATCTGCTGTCAGGATGGCCTCGACTGCACTGGCAATCTGGAATTAGGACAGCAGGAAAAAAAAAGAAAGGCATGAGGACAGAAGCTTCCAGTGCCACAACACTCCACATTTAAGCTCAGATCAGCAAGGCAGTTGTACAAGGGCAGCGTTCAGGAGCCTCAGTCAGAAGCCAGGGCTCCATAATATAAAGCACCGTGTAAATGTGTAGGACAACCCTGTTTACTGCAAGCTGAGACTTTACTGCAGCTCTGCAGGATCTTTTTTACAGGCCAGTGGTTACTTCCCTGTAATGGCGCATTTCCTCCTTACCAACAGAAAACACAGCCCTTCATCCAAACATACCCTGTCTCTGACCATGTCTGGTAGCCCCTCCAGCCCATCACGAGGAATATCCAAATGCTCTGGGAAAATGACTATTTTTACATCTTCGTCATACTCAAACTTTTCCTCTGTGATGTCAAATCCACCTTCTACACCTACAGAAAGAAAAGACATTGCGGTAACAGGTAAAACCAAATAGCTTCTGAGGCCTCTCTGCCCATAGCTTACATGAAATAAGGCAAAGCTCTAGATCAGTGATCCACAATCTTTCTTCTATTTCTAGATCGCAAAGTTTCTGCTGGAGGTGTGGACTTCACGGGAGCAAATATAAGCCTAAGCAACAACAGGTTTGCTTTTCCCAGCTCTTTTTAGACGCTTAATGGAATCTCCAGACCCTGACTACAACCAGAGAAGAGACCTGCTCTGGAGACAGAGTCACCAGAGCAGAGCCATAATAAAACACTGCTGTTCATCCTGCACAGTATATCCAAGGCGATGAATGGAGATGCGCATGAAGGGATCATATTCTAACCCAGTGTGAAGGTCTCTAATCTACCAGCATCTTTAAGGAGCCAGGTGCTTCTTCTTGCCTCTTTCAGTAAGGACAGTTTGGAGTTCTGAACTTAAGCAAGGAGATCCAGGAGTTCCTCTGGAACCAGAACATCCAGAATTACAGAAAAAGTGCTAGTCGTTTCTCACAGGCACCTAGCCATGCCTTCTAGAGGTTGCAACAGAAACAAGAGTCCGTACAAAACAGGTCACTGGCCAAGAGACATGATGGATGCTCACCAAAAAGTAGTATTTTTGTCAGATCACTCAAGAAACTGATTGATCAGTTTCTGATTTATGTAGGTACTCAGGAAAAACCCTGGCCTTTCCTGTTCTCCAAATGTTGACACCTTACATCCCAGAAGGAAACAGGCAGAAGACCCATTACTTACTAGCAGACGTAACCCCCATGGGGTTTTTTACCTACATTTCCTTTATTTATTTAAAAATGGCATGCTGTGACTGCAATAGATCTCTGCAACAGAGATCTGTCACTGCAACAAATCTCTGAAGGGAATACAAGTTTTCGCTGTTTAATACCTCAGCCTCAAGAATTCTGCATGTGACACATTTCAATTACTGCATTCGGTTAAAATACTAACAAAAATACCTGGTTCCCATGATATCTCCTGCAACTCTCTCCTCAGATACCTATGATTTTTAGACTAAGCACAAACTGCTATGTATGAATGCAGATGGTGCAGGTAATCTTAGAAATATCTGAAAACAGTCCCAAGCATCATGAAACCACATACCCAGATAATCCCTTTCCGTGCCTCTTCAGCACATCCCAGAGAGATGTGCTGTCATCACTTCACAGAGTAAAGCAATACACCATCCCTGAGGGTATTACACAATTCCTCAACTCTTAAACAAGCTAAAACAGATGGGTGAGGTCCCCTCAGGTGGTTATGTGAACCTTTCGAGGATCCAGACAAGGAAGAGGGTTTTCAGCCTGTCTCCCTCCTAGCCCTGTTTCCCCCACATATAGCCCACAGCTTGCCATGAGGTATATTGCCTCCCTCTCCACGGCTGTATCTAACCACCACAGACTCCAAAAGTCATTCAACCCACACACAGGCAGGGAGGTAAGCACTACAGACTTTTTTCTCATGGAGAAGGAAGCTGAGGTACGGGGAGATCAAGGGCTACATTTTGCAGACAACAACATATTGCTCCTAAATCTTTCTCGTACTTTAAAAAAATCTCCCATGTCAGGAGTAGCTAAACCACCACAGTTTAGCTAAGAAAGAGGTGAAAAAAATCTCTCCTGGACTTAAGATCACTGCCTTATAGAGGTAATACTTTCTTTTATTCTCTCCTGTTCCATCCATGCTGTTAAGGTGTTATCACAGGCAGCTATTTGCTGACCCAGTGACAACACTTGTCTCAGGCCTTTGTAGAACTGAGGATGCAAAAATAACTCATAATGCAGACTAAATTATATATATAAAAGCACTGGCTATCTGAATAAAAGTAGATTCTAGCCTCAATTTTGCTAGAACTGACCTTTGGGACCTCGTTCACTTCACCATAAAAACAGGGAGCAGCTCAAAGTCTTATAGTTGGTGTTTGCCTTGTGGCAGCAGCGGAATCGACGGGCGTTTGCTACACAATGGCACAGCCAAGTAAAATGTGAGCAAAAAGCAGGACGTGCACAGTCCAGGTTCTGGATTTCCCTCTAGTGGCCAGCTTCCCGTGAGCCAAGAACCTCTAACTGCTAAAAATGTTCCTATCCCCTGCTTTATGGAACCTCATAATGGTTCAGAAATTACTAGCCGAGACTGCTCCAAACTAAGCAGCATCTTCACTGCTTGCCATGAAAGCCTTTTTATTCGGTGCAAGAGAATAATGGAACACCAGACCTGTTCTTCAAAAAAAGGGCTTGTTTTTAATATTTTAACGTTAACATGTATTTCCTCCAATATCACTTTTGTATTTCAAAGAGCTATCACGACAAAAATGTTAGTAAGACATCTACCCACTTCTTCCCCATCTATATAAATAACACTAATTCAATATCTGAGAAGTTTAAGAAAAACAGTTTCTCTATCAGAAACTTCAAACTTACTTTTCTCAGACTTAGACATTTTCTCAAACTCACTTCAGCCTCACACTGGATGCATCCATATAAAGCAGCAGCCCCACACTGGTTATATCCACACCAAGATGAGTCAGGCATACGGAGTTAAGAGAAGATGCAAAACATATTTATCTACAGAAAACACCATGCAACTTTGAACACAGAACAAAACTACCACCTCAACAAGTGTTTTGCAGAAACTGCTCACCCAGGACACACTAGAAAACATGAAGTTTGAATTAGGTCGGTGATAATAGCTTCAACTAGCCCAGGAAAAGCAAAAGAGACATGCCACAAAGCCAGAAAGTTCCAGAGGACTGGTCCGAAACAAGAACAATGCAATACACAAGTGCTTTCTTACCAATAGCCAGGCGAGTTGGTTTCTTCCTTGGGGGGTCCCCAGCACTAGAGTTGGTGTCTTCTTCCTTCTATTTCATTGAGAAGAAATAGGGAAATAGAATTAGGGGTACAGGCAAGCCTCAAGTATCGAAATTAAGCTGCTGTGAAAACAGAAGGAGGCCAGGCAGAAATAGTGTTGGCAACTCTTATAACAATTCAACATAAGCAAAGCGGAAGAACTGCTGTACCTCAATTCACCAAGAAAAACATAAATTATATTTGAAGAGAGAAAACTGTGTATCTGATTGAATAGAGACGTGTATCCCAGCTCTCAATTTCAGAACAAGTTTGACTGTATGTATTTTTAATTTTTACCGGTTTACGTGTTCTTTTGAGGTGCAGGTAGACCCGCTGGCCTGTTTTCTGATAGTGCTTCTCCACATATTGCTTCCCAAAGCCCAGGAACGTGTTCATGCAGATATACAAGCCGCCATCTGACTCCTGGAAGTAAGGAGAGATAAAAACTGAAGGGAGGTGGAAAAGAGTGCCATTCCAACTGCTAGGATAGGCACAGAGTTACCTCTAGGAATACTATTCATTATTCATTAAATCACGTCTATAGCTCATTCCTACATGCCACCCACTCCGTAGTTAGTCAGAAATAAGCTAGTAAACCCCAGTCTGGATGTCCCAGAAGAACAGGTACTCCCGTCAAAATGATGTATTTGAAAACCTATTTGCCTGTTCATTTATGGCAGGATGTTATGAAATCAGGAAAGCCCGAGCTTCCTCAGGAGCTTGTCTCACAAAAGGTTCTTAACATGCACAGTTCACACGTTCAGAACATGGTGCAATCATTACTAACAAAACCATGCCACCTGCCCTGTCTGAAAACATAAGTCCCAGCACCATAGGGAACTTTGCCAAATTACAACATGAGGAAGGTTGACAGACCACTGTTCATTCTTGCTGCTGCGTTCAAAAGCTTGCGAGTAGCTCTGAAACGTATACAGAATGAGCCCTCCCCATCCCACAAGCACCTGGAAAACACCACACGCATTCAGCATTTTTAAATCGAAGAGGCGAGGGAGCCAAACGCAGAGGCTGGAAAAGAGGGACACTGCTAAGAAGCTCTCAGCCTGCTTCCCAACATTAAGCAGCTGGGACAGTCAGAGGAGGGAGTGCACGGACAGGCGTCACCGCGGGGCTCAGGGAAAGGAAGAGGGCCAGGCTACCGTGTGCTGCTTCCTCGAAGGACCCTTATCTTCCAGCCGCAGCCCATTTCTGCTGGTGGGCTGGGGCACGGCCCGGACGAGCGCCTGAGGAGGCCAAGGAGGGGGGGGATCTCGCCCTCCGGCCGCCAAGGGCCTCCCCAGGTCCGCCTAGGCCAGGCGGTGGTAGGGAGGGAGGAGCAGGAATGCCGGCGGGGTGGAGACGGCAGGAGAAGGGACCACTGCCATCTTAATGACACAGCACCGACTCACCCCCGTGCCTGCCGGGCCACGCCACGCGGAGAGGCCGGAGGGACAGCTCGGACCCGGGCAGGGCGGGACCCCCGCCCGCCC